TGTTTGGTTTCAGCAGAACTGAGCCAGCTCCGGCCGCCCCCAGGCTCAAAGGAGCCCCCCCCCCAGGCAGATAAAGCACTTTAGAGTCTAGTTCGGGGGTCCCCAAACTTGGCAAGTTTAAGACTTGTGGACTTCAACTCTCAGAATTCTCCAGCCAGCATAGCTGGCTGGAGAATTCTGAGAGTTAAAGTCCACAAGTCTTAAACTTGCCAAGTTTGGGGACCCCCGAACTAGACTCTAAAGTGCTTTATCTGCCTGGGGGGGGGGCTCCTTCGAGCCTGGGGGTGGCCAGAGATGGCTCAGTTCTGCTGAAACCAAACAGGTTCTGACACTAGGAGGGAGCCCCAAGATCTACACGCCTTTTGCAGGAAACAGCATGCAGGGCCTGTGCATGCGTGCTCTCCTGCTGCTTGCAGGGCCCAGGGATGGAGGACCCCTCCTGGCATAAGGAATCTAGTAGAATCCTAACATTCCTGGCTGCAGAAGGTTGGGCAGAGAGATGTGCTCCCCTCCCAAAGGAAGACACCCCCCCTTTGTTGTCTCCAAAGGCTGTGATGCAACAGCCACCTTCAAGCAAGGCAGGAGTTGCACACAGCCTCTCTAAGCTGCCACTGATGGGATCCCTGGAGAGAATTGAGAAGGCGTTCAGATGTTTCTCCTTGCGCTGGTTCATCCTCAGCTTCCAGGCAGGATGGATGGCACGCAAGCAACCTCTGTCTCGGCTGGCCAGCATTGGATAAACACTCTGGATCCGATTCCAAATGAAGCTGAGCCAAGAGAAGGCGCCTCTCTCAGCGCTTCTCCCCTTCTAAGGGCCTGGGGACATCGGGACTCCTAAACTAACAGATAACCTCCTACTAACATTCCTCTCCAGATTTCAGTCATTTTTTTGATATGAAGACAAGCTGGAAGGCAAATGGACCCATGCTTGGTTTATGCCAAAGCGGCCTCTGCCCAAGCAGCCTCCGTGCAGCTTCTCCTTTAGTTGGGACCAGGTTCTGTTCACTTGAAGGTCCACCTTCCCCTTGGTAGATCCAGGCAGGGGGGCCACGGAGGCAGCTGCTCTCCGCTGCTGCAGAACAAGAATGAACTAAGTCTCAAGGAACACCCCTTCCCCCCCACCCCACCCCCACCCCAAAGTCTCTGCCGGGGCTGCGGAGAAAATGAGGCCTCGGCAAAACCAGGGTGGCACATCCAGAACCAGAGTCCCGTTCCAGCTTGCAGACCCCCCATCCTCAGTTGTCTTCGTCGGAAGACAAGCCTTCAATCTCATCCTGGTCTCCTCGGATGGCCATCCAGAAGGCTTTGGCAACCTAGGAGTCAAAGCAAAGAGGCTGAAACTCCTTACCCCCTGCGGGAGACAAAACACCCTACAACAGTGATGGCTAAACTTTTTGTTTTTGGGTGCCAAAAATGCCAGCGCGTGCACGCAATAGTGCATGTTTGTGCTGGCACCCACATGCACACGGACGTACAACATCCCCCCATGCGCGCTGCATGACTCGCCTCCAAGCTGAGTGTGTTATTTCCTCTGGGGGGCTGGGGGAGGCCATTTTCACCCACCCCAGCTTCAGGAAAGCCTCCGGGCCCAATGGGCCTACCAGCAGTTCATGTAGGATGAACACGGCCTCTCTTGGCCTTCCGGAAGGCCAAAAATCAGCTAGCCAGCACGCGAATGCACACTGGAGCTGATGGCTCGCGTGCAGGCAGATATGGCTCCGTGTGCCACAGGTTCACCAACACGACCCTACGAACTCCCTCCAGGTAGATCTCTCAACTTAAGCCACGAGGGCCTCACTACACATTTCACTTCTATCCTGGGATCTGCAACTTGGAGAATCAAACTTTAAAAAAAAGCATCTTTGATAAAATATTTATCTCGATTACAGAGATTCGACCCAACAGAGCATGAATACTTCTGATTTTGGTTGGGGAGAGAAGCTGCCAAGAGAAGAAGCGAGAGTTAGAAATCTCTAGTGAGAGATAAGCAGCATCTGGCTGGGTTTGGGCTCGGGAACAAGGATTTCCAACCCCAAATCTTACCTTTTCGGCATGCAGCTTTCTTTGTTCGTGAGGCAGGGTGGCAGCCTTTTCTGGAAAATGAAAGGGAAAGAAAAATCACAGTTGTCAAACTCAAGGCCTGGGGGCCAGATCTGGCCCGTAGGGTACTTAGATCTGGCCTATGGATCCGCTCTGAAAACAGCAAAGGACTGGCCCACGGTGCTTCTGCCAGCGAAAACGGGCTCCCAAGCTCCATTTTCGGCTGCCACGTCCTCCTGAAACCCTCTGCCAGTGAAAATCGATGGGTGCTACTTCTGTCCCCATCTCTGATCACACATTCTAGAATGTCACTCCTTCTTTTTCCTTTACGCAATTTCCCAACCTGTGCAAGGCCGCCCCAGGCTGAAGAGCAGGTAAATGCTAGTGAGGAAACCCAACCAGGCAGATAGATTGGCAAGGCAGAAAAAGGTTTGCGTTGCATGCCCAAATAATATGAATTGCCAGGAGGGAAGGATGGATTCCCAACTTCCTGTTTCCCTTTCTTGGCTTCGGTTACGGCAGAGGAAACCAGAGGCCGGCCGGCCCGGCACTGCAGGTCTCCAGAGCACAGGATTGGGCTGCTGTTTTCCTCCTGTTTCCTAGATGCTACTGCTTGGACACTGCATTTCCCAGCATTCCTCACCTCCGCCACCCCACCCTGCATTCCTCTGTAGATGAGTCAAGGTGAGGAGAGCTACCTGGCTCTTGTGCTCAAAAGCCGCCCTGGCAAATTTGCAAGAAAACTGAGTGTCAGACCTGCAGGCCACCTTTTCTCTTTAAGTTTATGTTTGCCACACTTTCTACTGTTTACTTCCTATTGTGGGAAAATGGGAGGGGGGATTATATGGAGTTAGGTGGTGTGTAGCTATAACAACATTCTTCTTAGAAATCCAAGGTCTTCTTTGTCTCTGCAACTGGCCGGAACTGGATGGGAGGAATCTGTCTTTGTGGCTGTGGGAGATTGGACCATGGGGTGGACTGGTGGGTGTTGGAGCAGGATCTTGAACTTTCAACTGGGTGGGAAAACCTGGAAGCTTTCAGATTCATGTTTTCCCAGATGTGCTAACAAGACCTCTAATAAATTGGAACTTTGAGGAACCTCAAGCCTCAGAGTCTTCTTTCGTTGGGGGTGTTTTTGGGAACCCTGACACCGGGTCGTGTTCCGAGTGTGGGGGAATAAGCTGGAGGCTACCTTTCATTTCCTTCAACTTGGAGAAGAGTCGCTCAAAGTTCTCGATGTCTCCTTCTCCTGTGGTGAGGCTGGCCAGCTCTTGAATGTCCGTGTCCAGCGCTGGGTCTGCAAAGAAGCCCAAGAAGAGAGGCAGCTCTCAATGGGAAGGGACAACGCAGCGCCACAGGGGGCCAACTGAGTTGGCCATGGTGAGTTGGCCATGATGAATTGTCACAGCCTGGTGACAATTCACTGACTGGACTGACTGAAAGAGCAGGAGGTGGGTTGGGACAGGAAAGGAGCCACTGTGACCACCCCCGAGAGACTTCCTGAGAGGGGAGACTGGATGGGTGGAAAGAACTTCTTGCAAAACAACCAAAAGAGGGAACCCGCCTGTTTTCTCCACTTGACCTACTCCACCTACTTAGCAAAGGGGCTCTTACCAGCCACAGGATCCCCCTGGGTTCCCTCCGCAGGGGCCAGGGTTGCTTCTGAATCCAGCACAGATTGGGCCCTCTCTGCCGGCAAAGAGTTGGCCTGGTGGGGAGGGAAAGAAGTCGATTCAGACTCAACCCCCTCCAGTGGAAACGGGCACAAAGTACGGGTTGGCCTGAGCCAGCTTCAAGGATGCAAATTCCATGAAGCTAATGGGAGCCGAACCAGGTCAAAAGGACACCTGGGTCCAAATCTAGGTAAATTCTGATTGCAATACCAAACAAATAACCCAGTGATCCCTGGAACTTAATGGTTTAATTGTAAAGAACATTATTAAATTTCCAGGCCTTTTAAAAAAATGTTTGAAGATAAAGGGCCCTGCTCGGTAAATGAAAACACAGCCCCCCAGAGTTAAATCAGGGGCATAACAGAAAGAAGAAGAAAAAAAGAAGAAAGAAGAGGGATTAAGGGAGGAGGAGGAGGAGGAGGAAGAGGAGGAGGAGGAGGAAGAGGAGNTCCTTTTCTTCTTCCTTTTTTCCTCCTCCTCCTTCCTCTTCCTCTTCCTCATCTTCTTCTTCTTCTCCTCCTCCTTCCTCTTCTTCTTTTTCTTCTTCGTCTTCTCCTCCTCCTCTTCTTCTTTCTCGTCTTCCTTTTCTTCCTTTTCTTTCTCCTCCTCCTCATCTTTTTCTTCTTTTTCTTCTTCTTCTTCCCCTCCTCCTCCTTCCTCTTCTTCCTTTTCTTCTTCCTTTTCTTCATCCTCCTCCTTACTCATCTTTTTCTTTTTCTTCTCCTCCTCCTCCTTCCTTCTTTTTCTTCTTCCTTTTCTTCTTCCTCCTCCTTTTCTTCCTCTTCCTCTTCTTCCTTTTATCTTCCTTTTCTTCCTCTTCCTTTTCTTCTCCCTTTTCTTCCTCCTCCTCCACTTCCTCCTCCTCATCTCCTTTTTCTTCTTCTCCTCCTCTTCCTCTTCTTCTTCCTCCTCTTTCTCCTCCCCCTCCCTCTTCCCCCTCCTCCCCCTTCCTCCTCTCTCTTCCCAGGGCTGTACTCGGAGAGCTTTTTACAACCGTTTTTCCGAGAAATTCCCATGTCAAGTTTTTGGCTAGGCCTCCAGAGACGTCACGAACGGGCCCAGCTCTGACCTATGAGCCCCCGAAATCTGCGTGGATACTGGCAAAGCAGCAGAGGGACAGGCAGGAGGGAGGGAGAGAGCGAAAGAGAGAGAGGGAAGGAGAAAGGCAGAAAGAGACGGAGAGAAGGGCCATCCATCAAGGCGATAAAGAAAACATTCGGGGGGAATGGCCAGCTGCGTGAGGAGAACCAGCTGCAAAAGAGGGTTTGATACAGAGCAGATGTGTGAAACTAATTCATGCAAAGAGATAAGAAAACACAAGTTTTTTAAAAAATACCTTCGTGAAAACTAAAACTTTAAACAACGGGGATTGTGTGTTTGTGTGTGTGTTGGGGAAGGATACTCAGGGGTAAAATCTATATAGGAAGGTTCTAGTGAAGAACGTCCAGAGTTACTGCCGTTCGTTTAGCGACCATCCGAAGTTATAACGGCACTGGGGAAAGGGGCTCGAAAACGCATCGCCCCCTCGGGTCGGGTGACGCCATCCGGGCATTACGAATCCCGAATCCGCAGCAGCCACACGCAAGATTGCCGAATCCAGTAACTTCCTAACCAAGTGGACAATCGCCATTTTCCTGGTTGGAGGTTTGTGGCAGCAGAAGAAAAAGTCATGCCAGGCGTTTTGGAGACCGTGGCCTGCTCCCTTCCCCCTGCACATGTGTGTGTGTTTGTGTGTGTGTGTTGTGTTGTGTTTCAGAAGCCCTTTGGAGCCTTGTCCGGGAGGCCTGTCCCTTAAGCGGCTCCAGATGGCCGTTTCCCCTCTTAAGCCTCTATAATCACGGTCGTTAAACAAAGCGAGCCCCAGGCTGAGGTTACTGTCGGAGAAGAGAATAGAAGAACAGGGTCGGAAGGGACCTTGGAGGTCTTCTAGTCCAACCCCCTGCTTAGGCAAGAAGCCCTACTACCACTCCAGACAGACAGCTGTCCAGTCTCTTCTTGAAATCCTACTTTTCAGGAAGGAAGGAAGGAAGGAAGGAAGGAAGGAAGGAAGGAANTGGAAGGGACCTTGGAGGTCTTCTAGTCCAACCTCCTGCTCAGAAAACAGAATAACAGAGTTGGAAGGGACCTTGGAGGTCTTCTAGTCCAACCCCCTGCTCAGAAGACAGAATAACAGAGCTGGAAGGGACCTTGGAGGCCTTCTAGTCCATCCCTCTGTTCAAAAGACAAAATAACAGAGCTGGAAGGGACCTTGGAGGTCTTCTAGTCCAACCCCCTGGTTAGAAGACAGAATCACAGGGTTGGAAGGGACCTTGGAGGTCTTCTAGTCCATCCCCTGGCTCAGAAGACAGGATAACAGAGCTGGAAGGGTCCTTGGAGGTCTTCTAGTCCAACCCCTGGCTCAGAAGACAGAATAACAGAGCTGGAAGGGACCTTGGAGGTCTTCTAGTCCCATCCCTCTGTTCAAAAGACAAAATAACAGAGCTGGAAGGGACCCTGGAGGTCTTCTAGTCCAACCCCTGGCTCAGAAGACAGGATAACAGAACTGGAAGGGACCTTGGAGGTCTTCTAGTCCAATCCCCTGCTCAGAAGACGGAATAACAGAGTTGGAGAGGGACCTTGGAGGTCTTCTAGTCCAACCCCCTGCCCAAGCAGGAGACCCTATCCCGTTTCAGATCAATGGGCGTCCATTTCTCTTCTTAAAAACCGCCCGTGATGGAGACCCCCCACCCCACCCCAAATTTCTCCAGGGATTGGGTGAGGCAGAGAAGCAGCTTCCACCAAGAACCAGAAGCGACTCGGATCTTTCCCACAGGAAGTTGGCTTAGCCAAGTTGGTTTGGCCCCGGGCATCTCTGGCCGATGGAAGCCAGGGCTGAGTAAAGGCCAGATTTTCCGGAAGAATGGCAAAGTGTGAAGTTGTAATCACCGGATGTGGAAAATTCCCACCGTTGGCACCCTTGTTCGGATGGGGTTTTCCAAGCCCGCGGGGCGCCGTTTAATTTAGAGCGGTTGTCGTGCAGAGACGGTTGAAAAATTGCATCAGAGAACGAATAAATGTCTTTAATTTGTGTTTTTTTTTAAAGCAAGCCGCCCTGTCACTCTGGATAATGGGCTTAAATCCTCTTCCTTTTCTTCTTCCTTTACTTCCTCTTCCTCCTTCCTCCTCCTCATCTTTTTCTTCTTCTTCTTCTTCTTCTTCTTCTTCTTCTTCTTCTTCTTCTTCTTCTTCTTCTTCTTCTTCTTC